GAATAAATCCTCAGGTGGTGCACAGCAGGCACTGCTCTTTCACATTCTTCCAGTTTCTTGTGTTGTCTCCCTTCCAAGGTGGCCATGATGGCAGAAGAGCTGAAGAAGGAGCAGGACACCAGCACCCACCTGGAGAGGAAGAAGAAGAACCTGGACCAGACGGTGAAGGACCTGCAGCACCGTCTGGATGAGGCTGAGCAGCTGGCACTGAAGGGAGGCAAGAAACAACTCTTGAAGATGGAGGCCAGGGTCGGTACCAGCACTGAATGTGGGTGTCGGAGATATTTTTCTTCTCTGAGTCCTGTGTGAGGGCTCAAGACAATTCTTGATTAATTCACCAGATCCGAGAGTTAGAAGCTGAGCTGGAAGAAGAACATAAACGATCTGCAGAAGCTATGAAAAACATCCGCAAATATGAAAGGCGTGTCAAAGAGCTTACTTTCCAGGTAGGTATAAATAGAAAGCAATTCTCCTGATGTTTTGTCTCCCAAGAATGAAAAATTGCACGTTCCCTTTCCACAGAATGAAGAACACAGGAAGAACATGATGAAGTTACAAGATCTGGTAGATAAACTGCAGATGAAAATCAAATCCTACAAAAGACAAGCTGAGGAAGCTGTGAGTCACTAAACTGAAGGAAATACTTATTTACCATTTTCTAGGACTGTCAGTTTAAAAATTGGCTCTGTGCCCCAGCATGTTGCTGGATGGTTTTTAGTTCCTTTTTTTTTGACATTTCAGGATGAACAAGCCAATACTAATCTCTCCAAATTCAGAAAAGCACAGCATAAGCTAGAAGAGGCTGAGGAAAGGGCAGGTATTGCTGAAAGTCAAGTAAACAAGCTCAGAGCTAAAACCCGAGAAGTCCTTTCTACGAAGGTAAGCCTTTATTGCAGAAGGCAGTTGTGCAGTTTGTACTGCTTGCTCAAGAAATTTAAGCAGTAGATTTGTGCCTTGTGGGTGGGTATAGCGATCCTTCAGAAAGGACAGTTTTGGAAGGAAGGAACTGAGAGAGTTGGGGTTGTTCGGCCTGGAGAAGGCTCCAAGGAGTCTTTGTTCTGGCCTTTCAATATAAAAAGGGCACTTATAAGAAGGACAGAGAAAGACTTTTTACCAGGGCCTGTCGTAAAAGGACAAGGGGCAAAGGTTTAAACTGAAAGAGAGTAAGTTTATGTTGAACATAAGGAAGAAATATTTTACGATGAGGGTGGTGAGATACTGGTACAGGTTGCCCAGAGAAGTTGTGGATACCCCATCATTGGAAGTGTTCAAGCTCAGGTCGGACGGGGCTTTGGGCAACCTGGTCTAATGAAAGATGTCCCTGTCCATCACAGGGGTTTTGGACTATGTGATCTTTGAAGGTCCCTTCCAGCCCAAACCATTCTGTGATACTACGATTCTATGACTCTGGCATTTCAGGCTCTGGTGCCGAGCATGAGCTCTCTGGCTAGTTTAGCCACATTCGTTTCAGACTGAAGAAAATCGCCCATAATGTGAAAGTAATGAGAGCCAACCTAACTCTGAACATTCCTAAAACACCCTTCCTGTGAGCCTTAGCCGAGCTTCCTGAGAAGCTGTCCATCTCCAACCCAAGACTGTTTGTTACAAGATTTAGTGCCCATTTTTCTTAGTGTGATCTGAGCAGGTGTAACAGCTTTTGACTACACTAGTCTAGCTCAGTTTGTAGTTGGAGGTAAAATACCCTCGATCCACATTTTGGAAAAATTACTAGTGCCTAGAACACATATCCAGGAAATGGAGAACCCTGGCTCCAGGCTGCCTCCTGCTTCCCACAGCATCCTCTTACTCATACAGCATTTCAGCTCTAGGATGAGACGCAAGGGAGAGCATGCTTTCTCCTGATGGCTCTGGCCTGGGGCTCTATAGACAGTGTTGGTTCTGCCAGAGGCTCTTGTGCAACCTTCAGGGAGTCACTTAATGCCACGCTCCAGTAAAAGTGGCTCCAGTAGAAGGCTGTGACTCAGTGCTTGTCAGGGTATCTTGCCCAGACCCCAGGGGAAGCACCTAGGAAGCTGAGCCCAGGTTCCTGAGCAAAGTCTTTAGACAAAAGATTACCCTAGAGAAGGAAAGCTGAATCTCTAATTGAATTGAAAGCCCAGTCAGGGGAAGGATTTCAGGTATCTCCTACTCAGTATCCTCAGGTAAAGGTAAGTTGAACACGCTGACTATGGGCAACTCTCTCTGCAATATGCTGTAGTTTTAGATCCTGCTTTGGGGTGCCTGATGCTGTGTAGTATATACAGAGCCTGGGCACCTGGCATGAGCTCTGCATTCTGCGCTGGGAGGCCTTTTAATTAAACATTGTAATGCCTAAATATTTTAATAGATCCAATGAATCAATGCATCCTTTTACTCCCTTCCAAGCTTTACATTCACTTTTGGAAATGCTGGGATACTGCTTGTCCCAGAGGATGGGAGAGCAGGTTGTTTAAACACTGTAACAGTAGAGTAGCACTTCAGAAGAGCCAGCAGATATGTTTCTTCATTTCAACCTATCAGTCTGACAGCATGACATTTGGTGGTGTGTGGTTTTAAGGGTTACAGACACTGTCACGTTGACCTGGGCTCCACTTGCACATCCGAGCTGAATGGTGCATTGAGAAGAATGATTTTAGGGACCAAAAGACTCCTCTTGCCATGTGTGGAGTAAACAAAGCCTCTCCTTTCCAGGTGGTGTTAGGAAGTGAAAAATGAGCTTCCTCTGGGATAGCCAGAATTTACACAACGTATCTTTCCAGCTGTGGATTTGGAGTAGCTAGAGCTACACTGGTGGGAAGTAATCTTACATTTGCTTATGGACACAAACATTTTCTGTCATTCTGCTGCTCTACCAGTGTCAATAAAATAGATATCTACAACTTCAGGTGCTCTGAATGTTGCTGTTCAGATGAGAGTAATTTTCTTTCTAAGTTAAGTGTAGTCAAAACTGTGGGTTCATTTTACGGCTGCTATGATCATGTTTGAGCAATTTTGTTCTGACCTTAAAATCCAGGTGTTTGACAGACTTCCTCCATATCTTGTGCTTGAAAGCAGATATCCTGACCTCATTAAATGAAGCTGAGAATAAACTACTGTGTGAGCAGATGTGGTATGTCAAACATGCAATGAGAATAAAATTACAGCATTCATGCTTAGTTTCACTGCTGTATCTCCGCATTGGAGAAAGAGACCACTCCAGCCTGTGAGCCCACAGCCATCTGTGTGCATTACAAATCAAGTATTCTCATCTTGTAGTCAAACTGCACTTCAGAATGTTGGCCCACTCCTGAGCTATCCTGTGTTGCAGCTCTGAGCAGATGAGACCTTGAACTTGGGCATCCCGCATACTTTTCACATTGGAAATAGTTATCAATTGATCTGCAATGTTAGCAGCAAACTCTGAGTAGCTACTTGGAGCTTATCTCCCCAGTGGCACTGGGCACCATAATCGTTCTCAGTGTTTCCTAAAGCGAAATACATGTTCAGCTACTTTGTGGTGTGTGTGCCTTCGACACCGTGTCCCACGGTATTCTCCTAGAAAAGCTAGTGGCTCGCAGCTTAGACAGGAACACTCTTTGCTGGATAAAAAACTGGCTGGATGGCCGAGCCCAGAGAGTCGTGGTGAATGGAGTTAAGTCCAGGTGGCGGCCGGTCACCGGTGGTGTACCCCAGGGATCGGTTTTGGGGCCTGTCCTGTTTAACATTGATGACCTGGATGAGGAGATTGAGTGCTCCCTCAGTAAGTTTGCTGATGACACCAAACTGAGCGGGTGTGTTGACCTCCTTGAGGGTAGGGAGGCTTTGCAGAGGGATCTGGACAGGCTGGAGCAATGGGCTGAGGCCAATTGTATGAAGTTCAATAAAGCCAAGTGCCGCCGGGTCCTGCACTTTGGTCACAACAACCCCCTGCAACGCTACAGGCTTGGGGGTGAGTGGCTGGAAAGGGGTGTTGGTTGACAGTCGGCTGAACAGGAGCCAGCAGTGTGCCCA